TTTATACCTCTTATCTTGTCAGCAATTGTATGTGGAATGCACTTTATAGCACTTAAGTCTTAAAATGTTGAGCGACCTCTCTCACCTTCATGGAAATGTGAATGAGGAATGAGTGATAATTAAAAAAAAAAAAAAACCTGGCTTGGGAAAAATTCACTTTGCTTGTTAAGCCCTAAAAAAAGATGGGGAAGATAATTACGTGACATTGTGACATTTCTACTTCCTTGAAGAAAATATGAGGGATTTTACTGAATCCCTAAAGAGGAGATCATTCATATTAATCTTATTTTATATTAACTCACTACACTGCAGAAAACATTACAGATATGATGATTACAAATGCTCAGTTACTAAAATGGGCCACACACTGCAGTGCTTAACTTAATTTGGTAAATGTATTTCTGCTTCAAAATGTTATTCTAGACAATTCATCTGAGAGCTTAGATAGCCATACCAGTAAGTGTTCAGGAGAATAAAACTATGCTAGCGGCTCTTCCTGCTTTTGAATTCCAATTTCAAACTAAGAATCCTTGAAGTCTATCTAGCTTTGGAGCAAAAAGTCCTTTACTTAAAAAATCCATTCTTGGGCCCTAGGTTTGTTCTTCATTTAAGGAGAAAGTGCTAGAGAATAAAGAAACCAAATAAAGAAAGGCCTTTCAAAATGTGAGGTATGATGGTAGCTTTAAGAACTTTCCCCATCAGATACTTCACAAGTCTGGACCAGATACTAGATAACGGATGTTAGCCCATACGTGTGTCCAATTAGAACTGCGCTTACATCATTACATATTCAATAAGAATGTAGCCTGTTGCAAAGCTTCTCTGGGAACACAAAGACTCCTATTATTTCTGTCCAGAGCCACCACACTTGCCAGAATGTCTGTATCTACATTCCATCGTGAAGCCCGTAGAAACCATTAATACTTTCAGCCCAGGGGACAGATGGCTCCTTTTCACCCTTATTAGATCACAAAATAGTTGTGCCTAGTGATACTTCCATATAACTTTAATGCCACAATGAAACTTGCAGGGAAGAAAAGAAACTTGCTGGCGTAAGTCCAGTTAAACTAAGTTTCTTATCCTCCAACACGTTTAACATTTCAAACTACAGGGTATAACTGTGCTTTTCATGGCCTTGTAAAAGTTAGCCAACTTGACTTTAGTAAACCTTAATCTACATCAAACTGTAACTGTTCAGAATCAGAATGTCAATGTGTTGCAAAAACAAAACGGAAAAAAAAATTTCTTTGGAAAAAAAATCTCGAAACAAAGTAAAAAGTTAAAGACTTTCTTTCTGTCCTAAGGCACAGCTTCACTCATTCAAGGGTTTTCATTGGGAGACGCTCCAATCTGTGCTCTTTCCGCCACTAGGGGGCTTTGTGCACAGACGTGAAGTTTTGCACTATCTAGACACGGGCTACGTAACTTTGAGAATTGCTCCGGGTCGATCGGGTGGGGTCCGGTGGCTGCGAGCGGGAACAGAATCTACAAACCTGTCTGAAAGACTGCAGGGTGCTCTCGGCTTCCTCTCTCTGAAGCATCTCCTCTTGCAACCTGAAACAGTCGCACATTAACCAAACGGGAACTGGGAAACCGCCAGGGGCGGGGCGGCCACACCCAACCACCACGTCGCTGCGCCTCGCGACAGAAGCTGCTGCGCCACCTCCGCGGGCAGCCAAGCACGGCGGCTTTTAGAACTGCTGCCCTCCGCACGTTTTAGCGGGTCCTCGGCGACAGCGTGCAAAAGCAATCACGGCCGCCACCGGAACCTGGAAGGCGACCGCCGCCCCCCCGCCCCCGAGGGCCCTCCGCAATCCCTTTGTCTCGCTTCCGCCACTTCCCTCCTCTCTTCCCTCCTCGCGCCCCATGCTGGCAGCCCGCCGGAAGCGGCCGGGAAACTTTCTAAAAGTTTGGGGAAATGGCGCTCATCGCTTATAAGGGCCTTCGGCTGCAGACAGAGCGGCAGTTTTAAGAAATCTGTAACCTGAAGCGGGGTGTTTGGGGGCGACCAGTGGGGGTGGAGGGGAAATGCTAACTGCAAGGTCTGGGTTTAGGGCGGGGCTGCGCCGCCGCACCCACAACCCCGCTCACCCGCTGTCCCCCAGGCAGCCACCACCCCAGCCACATCCAGGGCGTGGCAGCTTCTCGCGGGGGCCCTGTTCCCCTCTCCCTCCCCTCCCGCAGCCCCGCATGGGCGCCGCCTTACTTCTCCCGGAGCCGCAAGATGTCCTCGGCCAGGTTGTCGCGCTCCACCTCGACGCGGGCCTTGTCGTTGGTGAGCTGGTCCACCTGCCGGCGCAGCTCCCGCATCTCCTCCTCGTAGAGGTCCCCCAGGCGTGACTTGCCCTGGCCCTTGAGCTGCTCGAGCTCGGCCAGCAGGATCTTGTTCTGCTGCTCCAGGAAGCGCACCTTGTCGATGTAGTTGGCGAAGCGGTCATTCAGCTCCTGCAGCTCCACTTTCTCGTTGGTGCGGGTGTTCTTGAACTCGGTGTTGATGGCGTCGGCCAGCGAGAAGTCCACCGAGTCCTGCAGCAGGCGCACGCCGGGCACACTGCTTCGCAGGCGCACGGCGGAGGAGCGCGTGGCGTACGCGCCTCCGGGGGACGAGGCATAGAGGCTGCGGCCGGTGCTGGGGCGCAACGCGCTGCCCAGGGTGTAGGTGCGGGTGGACGTGGTCACGTAGCCCCGTGTGGAGCTCGGCCGGCTCCCGGTGCCCGGGCCGCCGAACATCCTGCGGTAGGAGGACGAGGACACGGACCTGGCGGACATGACTGCAGAGGGTGGCGGTGGGCCGGGCGGCTGCGGCGGCACGGACCGGCTCGGGGAGTGCAGGCGAGCGAGGGCGCGGTGGGTGTGGGCGGTGGGAGTGCTGCTGCGTCTCTGGCGCGGGGGATACCGGAGCGAGAGTGGCAGAGGACCGGACCCCGCGGAGGGCGCAGTTTTTATAAGGCGTTAGGAAAGAGGGTCCCCTCCCACTGCCATCCCAGCCGCAGACCGCGCCAGCCAATGGGGACCGACAAGAAGACCGGGGGGTGGGGGTGGGGGTGGGGGGGAGCGGGGCGCCCTCGAGCCTTCCTGCCGGTTCCTCTGCAGCCCGGGACTGGGCACCGTCCCGTTACTTTTTGGCTGGGCTGGGACTTTCGGGGGCTTTGCTGATGATGGTCCGAGCTCTGCTCCCCACTGGGTGCTAAAAAAGGCGGGGTCGCGCGGTGGTGGGGGACCCTGCCCAGGCCTGGACCAGAGGGGTCGCGGGCACCGCGCCGAAGAGTCCTGGGAGGAGGCGGGCGGGTGGGAGGGGCTCTCGGCTGCCGGGCTGTGGTCGGTCAGGGGCGTGTGGGTGGGGAGACCCGCGGGCAAGAAGCAGGAAGAGGGGGGAGTCAGGGATCCAGAGGATCGGAAGAAAGAAACAAAGAGTGCCTGAGGTTGGAGCGCGAGGTGGGGGCGTGCACGGTCGGCGGCGCAGAGCTGGGGCCCCGCGCAGCCTGGCGCACCGCCCACTCTGGCCCACGAATCTTTTCAACCTCTTGTCTTGGGGGGTTCCTGTTCAGGGACCTAACGGGCTCGGTGGCTTTGGACGGCGCGAGCTTCGAGGCGGCGGCCGGGGAAAGCCCGGGGGAGAGGGGTGGGGTCACTGAGTCACAGGCAGTGAGTCACTGAGCCCTGCTGTCCCCCGGGGTTGAGGGCTCCTAGCGGTTCGGAAACCGTTAGACGAGCCTGACTCCAGCCTCCCCGGGCCACGCGCGCACTGTTTTAAGTTTTACCCAAGTTCGAGTTTTCTTCTGTGCGGTTCGCCTGAGAACACCCCTGCCTTCTTAAGGACTCTCCAAAGCCTGGTTTTGCTCCGAATGTGAGGACTTCCTATTAGCAAGAAACTTCGGCAGAGCCCGGAGAGCTGCCGAACTCGGGTCTCCAGCATCATGAACGCACTCGGGGAAGGGTTTTCTTGCAAAGTTCCCTCCCATCCTTCCCTCTGGGCTCCTCTCAGTGCCCCCCCCCCGTCCCCGTGGAACCACACCCGACTTTTAACACGATCTGAAAGTTCTGGGTGGAAGAGGAAACCCAGCGTCCGTAGTTTCAAAATCAAATCGAGTGATCACTGGTTTTTCTGCTATAGTGGAAGTCATTAAAGGTATAATCTGTGCCAATTATAGAATTAATTAGGCGTTGCTTTAAAACCCCGATTTGATTAATGAAAGGCAATTATATAACGCAAATGACAGAATGTTTGGGGGGAAATAGATTTATATGTTCATTTTGGTTCAGCGAGGCCCATTGCAGGATTCTGGTGACTTGTCTGGGAAATGTCACAGGTCCTTTTGGCCTCATTTCCAGAAGAATTCGTGCAATTGGTCTTCCAGTGAAGGAGATAAAACTATCTGCAGAACAAACAGAGAGAAAACTTCTGGTCTTGAGCATTAGGGAGTGTTCAGACTCCACCACCAAAACCCATCTAGGGTAAATCACTCAACTCAAGGGCTATTGTTGCAACATCAGTAAGTGCTACCCCCAAAAGGGAGATGAAGGGAAGAGGGCAAGCCAGCCTTATTGTGATTAAGGAGCAATTTAAAAATCCTGGGTTGTTTTTTGTTTGTTTGTTTGTTTTGAGTATTTAGAAGACCTATTGAGTACTGGATGGATTAACTCCAAAACCACCCTATCGAGTGAATAGTTAAGAGAAAAAGGTAAAATCCTTCCCTCTGTCTTTTTTTTTTTTTTTTTTTGGAGTTGGGGGAGCTGTGGGGGTGGTACTGGACGTTACTTGGCATTTAAGAAAAATAGTGTAGAACCAACTGAAGGGTTTATCCTAGCTTCTTGGTGCAAGCCTCGTCTAGGCAATATTTTGTTTACCTCACTTCAGGTACTGCCAAAGTCAAGCTGCAGGACCTTTGCTGCATAGCTCCCCTACCGTGCGTTTCCTTTCTTCTCTCCTGTGCTGGGGGGCCGTGGGGTGCTCCCAGGGAGCATTCCTGGGGCTTGATGCCCCGGCAGACTAGTTTGTGCTCCACGTTGCCATCTTGTTCCCTGAGAGCTCTTTATTCAAGCCACTGCCCGGCAAATGCCACCATTGTGAGTGTGCCTGGAATTTTTAGGATGAGACAAAAAAAAAGTCATCTCCCCACAGGGAGGGAGGAAGAGAGGATGGACCCTACTCCCACCCAAAGTGCTGATCCCAGGGCAATGAAGTGGTGCTGTCAGGGGATGCTTGCTGACTAACTCACCGCGGAAAGTGAGGGCAAGGCTCTGGTGTGGTGTGACAGGGTGCCCTGTTGGTGACCACAGCAAATTCCTCAGGGCTATGGTGACTTCCTCTGGGATGGACTCTGGCCTTCCTCATCATCTCAGGGGTATCCCTCCTCCTTTCTAACTTGTCCCCAGTCTGTATTGTCAGGCAGGGCTGTGGTATGTTCACTTGCTGTCTTAGCTCAGATGCTATAACAAAATACTGTGCACCGCGTGGGTTAACCAACAGACATTCGTTTCCCAAAGTTCTGGAGGCAGGAAGTCCAAGATCAAGGTGCCGGCAGATTCAATGTCAGATAAGGACCTGCTTTCTGGCGTGCAGACAGCCACCTTCTTGCTGTGTCCTCAGATGGCGGAGACAGAGCTAACTGTAGTCTCTTCCTTTTCTTATAAGTACAGGAATCCCCTAACGGGGGCTCTACCGTCAACACCTCATCTAAACCTAATTACCACCCAAAGGCTCCATCTCCATGTATGGAAGCATTGGAGATTAGGGTTCCAAGATATGAATTTGGAGCTGGGGGGTGGGGTGGGGTGGGACACAAAGTTTCCATCCATAGCACTGGCCATACAGTGCAAACACACACACACACAGAGTATCCAGGGTGTCCTTCCTCTTAGAAACGGCCATAGCTAGCGTAGCTACAGCGTAGAAAACTGGAGGTTACAAAAACACTCTTATTCATGTAGAATGCGTGAGACTTCGTACAGAATTAACTTCATTCAGACATACATGTGCCTAGCCCAGTGCCTCAGCCAATGGGCGGCGGTCATCAGCGTGGGAAATCATTATGCCTGAACTAACATCTTTGAGTGTGATCATTAATCCTGCTTTATCTGTGCCCCACGTTCTTAGTTACCTTTGACACTCAGCAGTATGGAGACCTAGCTTTCTCGGTTTTCCCATTTATTTTTTTGAGTGCCGTGAAAACCTAGCTCGGAGGTATTTTTATTTTATTTATTTAATTTTTTTAAGATTTTATTTATTCATCTGAGAGAGAGCAGCACGAGAGGGGGGAGGGTCAGAGGGAGAAGCAGACTCCCCGCCTAGCAGAGAGCGCCATGTGGGCCTCGATCCTGGGACTCTGGGATCATGACCTGAGCGGAAGGCAGTTAGTTGCTTAACCAGCTGAGCCACCCAGGCGCCCCTCGGAGGTATTTTTAAATGCTGGACCGGGAAGCTGTTTCAAACACGGCATGGTGTGGGGTGTGACTCGTAAGGACACGGCGGTCCGACTCGTAGGCCAGGCGTAAACATGACCAAATCTAAAGTCCTAACAGGGATTTGGGAATTTGCAAGCTGTGGTGATGTCAGTTGAATGGGGTGATTTGAACTGACGGAGCAGCCAGCCATGTACAGAGGAGCTTAGCGGCCGGTGGGGGCTTTAGGAAAGCTGGTTGGCAGGAGGCCACACCAAGAGGACAGCTTCTAGCAGGACGGCCTGGATGGAATGGGAGAAATGAGAAGGTGGATAAAAGTGAGATGTAAGAAGCATGACAACACTCGAAGATGTCATGAAGAGAATAATCATCACTCATATCACCAGTGCTTTAGTTTTTGTGCCTATTGGATGACAGGAAGTTTGCATGCATTTTACCTAATGCTCTCATAGCATCTTGCAGGGGCATTTGATTGTCCATTTCACAGCGAAGGGGTCTGAGACACCGGCTTACAATTTACTCATCATGGTCTGATGACTAGGAGAGGAGGGAGGAAGGGGGCACGATTTTCACTTGAGGCTTTTCTGACTCCAAATGCACTTTTCTTTTCTCTTTGCCTTCCTCGATGATGAAATTTTGCTCACTGTCAACCAATACCATTTGCAAATATTACTTAGGGCCTACTGTGTTTCAGGAACTGAAGAGACTGGTTCATTATCAGATTATGTTATGAAGAAGCAGACTCTGAATGGAGTTTGGCAGATGCTTAGACTATGATGTTTTATGTTATTCAGAGGATGTAACAGTGATTCATAGTAGATATGGAGGGGATTTGTTTTTTTTTTTTTTTAAGATTTTATTTATTTGGGAGAGAGAGAGATAGAGAGAGAGATGGCCTGGATGGAGAGAGAGCACACTAGCGGGGGGGAGGGGCAGAAGGAAAGAGAGAAGCAGTTTCCCCACTGAGCAGGGAGCCGGATGCAGGGCTCGATCCCAGGACTCCAGGATCATGACCTGAGCCAAAGGCAGATGCTTAACCAGCTAAGCCACCCACGTGCCCAGGGGTTTGGTTTCACTTGCTCCCTAAATTGTTACTTGGAGAGTTAAACCTTTCACCTAGATTTCTTTCCATCTCTTCAGAGGCATCATCTCCAAAATTGGATGTAGTTCATCTCACACCCTAAAACCCACCAACCCCAGGGGATTCCCCTCCCAACTTCCCTGTCTGTTCAGGGCAACCAGCACACTACCAAGATGACAAACTTTCATCTCCGTGGCCACTCCTTCCTCTTCGGTCACTCAGATCTAGGGGCCATCCTGGATCGTTGTCTCCTGTGTCCACTCCTCAGAGCCACAACCTCTTTTTCTTAATGACCACATTCTTAAGATGTCCCAAAGATCCAAAGTGAATCCCTCATTGCTTCATTAGGATGTAAGCTCCATAAAAATAGAAAGAATGTTAAGGTCCATGAGGGCAGGGATTTTTTTTTTCTTTTTTGTTCACTATCCTAACCTCATGTGCCTACAGAAGCCTGGCACATTTCTTGAATGTATGGATTGATGCATGAGTAATTCATAGAAGAAGGAAGGAAGGAGAGAAGGGAGGGAGGAGGCGAATACTTCTAGCGCTATTATGTGCAAGCCTTGTGCTAGTCCCTTTAGGGGTGACTGCATTTAATCTTTTCAGGACATTTTGATCCACAAGTTGCATTCACTGACTCAAAATATGTTTATTGAATATTTACCATGTGCCAGGCACTCTGCTAGACTCTGTGGGGGAGGGGGGGAGTGAACAAGGCATGTGCTCTTGGAATGTAGACTTGAGTTGTGTGTGCACATATGTGATTCAGAGGGACAATACTCTGGTAAAGGAACAAACAAAGGAATCATAATTTGTAATAAAGATGGTGAAGGAAACAGAAGTTTTGCTGCAAAAGAGGTTGAGGCTCATGACACTCAAACATGGCCTTTGAAAGCCAGGCCAAGCATGCTCCACCATCCCTCCCGCTGCTCCTCACCAGACCACGATTTCAGGGGGACCCTAAGTTTCTCTCTGTTCGATGAAGAATCTGTATTTTCCCACACTCAGGTCTTTTCTCATATTCTGTTCAGCAGATAGGTATCCTCATTTTCTGCACCGGCCTGCAATGCTTGTTAGTTCAGGTAAGTAAGAAAGTGTTCATGTCTCCCGGGAGCTCCCAGCTTTGGAAAAGGATCAGGAACCACAGAAAGTGCTGTACTACAGGGTGGAATGTGGTGAGTGCTCCGACGGAGATATGAATGAAATACTAGAGCGTTTAGATGGAAAATGATCCATAGCCACTTGGGGGAGACCAGAAAATATATTTAGAAAAGATGGTACTCGAGGTACTTGGGGACACTTTTTATAGCTTATTGTGGTAGAGAAAGAAGGTTCGAAACTGATGGAAGAGTCTGAGCAAAAATCGCATAGATGGCAGGGTTCTGGGGGGCATTTGGGGCTAGCAGGAATCCCAGTATGGCTGGATTGTGGAGCAGCGGTAGGGGAGAAAGGGAAGCAGATGCTAATATGGGACCATGCGTTGGAGGGCGAAATGCCAGGGAGAGGAGTTTATAATTAATGTGGTGGGCAGTGGGAATTCACTGTCATTTGTGACTGGGAGAAAGACATGTTTGTGGCTGTGCCTTAGGAAGACTGTTCTGGCATGTTGTGGGGGATGAATTGAGGAGACCGATTTGAGGGCTGTTTGCAGTAGATCAGGTGAATGGAGGGGTGGGGGGTCCAGTGATAGCACAGAGGGATGATTGTTACGGCCATGAAGTTAGAAGACAAGTCAAAGGGCTCAGAGCTTTCTGGATAGGAACTGAGAGAATGGAGGTGGTGTACACAAAAGAAAAATTTTTAGGTGGGAAATTAATTTGGGGTGAAAGACATTCATTCAAATCCTCTTATCTGGAAGTATCTTCCCTTCTGTAGTCTATATACAGTGAAACCTCATAAGGTGGGTGAGGTATAAGCTGGATCATGGGGTTCTGCCTTTTATGGCACTTTCAGAATGTTCACATGAGTTAGCATCAACAGCCTTGTGATGGTCTGGTTTCCATAGTTGGTATAAAATTGGGGACTTCTGCAGTATCTTCTAGAACAGTTTCTAAAGTTCAGAAAGTTCTAAAGTTGAGAAAATGCTTAAAGATGAATTCCTGGAAATCTCTTTGAATCTTTTTGGGGGAAATAAAAGCAGATCATAGTTCCCTGTAGAACTATTTATTATTTATAATTTCACCGAAGTCTAATGTATAGTCTATGACAGAGGAAAGAGAAGGTGATCAGTATATAGGAGGGAAAAGGAGATGTTCATCAACATATGGAGGGAAAAACCTAGTGCAAAAAATTTCAAGTTGATGTCAGACAGATGTGAAGCTAGATTTTCAGTATTGGTTTACTGGATGCAAAACACAAAACGAAACCAGCCCAGTTATAAAAACCAGACCTTATTTGAAAGTGACCTAAATGATACTGTCAGAGTTTAGTTATTGGCCAAGTGAGATTACCACATGAAAACAAGCAGGTATTTACTCGTGGCCTCTAATGTTTTTACCATGTTTCAGGATAGAGAAGGTCATGCCACTGCAAGAAAATTTGCCCAAGGGCATTGACATCCTGGAAATTGACTCTGCCTATCTTGAGGAGGTCCCCTAGTTCCCGAGTGGTGGAAGTTTTTTCAGGAGATATTTTGGTAATAGGCCTACTGATAATAACTGTTTAATAGCACAGTTTTCTTTTAAAGAACTGAAGAAATTTTTTTAAAATTCTGATTTTTCTTTATGGTGACCTGTAAAGTTGGAATGGAAATATATTGATTATATATATATAGCCATAATGTCTTTCCTGTATATTTGGGACAAATAAAAGAACTCTATCCCACTTACCTCCAAACTGATTAAAGAATTAACCAGTCTTTCAAAAAAAAATGTGGAGATGTTTTAGCTCTGGCTAAACATGTTCATTTAGCGAGTGAAAATGATTTTCTTCAAAACCTTGGATATTACATTTAGTTTTGGATGTGTTTGATAAACTCAGTGTTTAAAATATACCCCATCAAACTTTGGTCTTGTGTATGCTGACAAAGATCATTATGATCTGTAGAGGTTAGAAATGAAAATCAAAAGACAAAGTATCAGAAAAATAATAAGCATATAAGTCAAAGTGACCCTAAATGCAAATGGAAGGAAATATAAGATGGCATAATGATAAAACTATGCAAGGCAAAAGATTAAGAAAATTCATTACAATTATGAGAAATAACTAGGAAAGACCATTTTGAGGTAACTGTAGCAGAATAAAGGGATTGGCAGCACTCTCCATAGTTTTCCTGCAGTGATTTCTAAAATACCGAGTAAGGTTTTGTATTTCTCATTAGCTAAGTCTTAGAAATATGCCCTCTAATGTGACTCATATGGATATATGGAGTAACTACAAAAATATTGTGGAACTTGAGCTTAATATAGATGAAATATGTTTTCTCTGTATCATAAATTGTGAAAAATTGTTCTGATACAGTGCTGTAATGCATTCATCTGGGATCTCCAGAACTTTAGGAGTTTAGACATGTGTGACTTGCATGTCAGGATCAGGGTTTTCATTTTGCTGACTCTGGGTTGGTTTTCACAGTCCGTGATTTGTGAGCTCTAAACAAGGATAATGGTAACCAGGCATACCATGATATCATGACTAAAACTGGACTCTGGCCCAGATGGGAAAGCTAATGGTAAGCATAATGAGACCTTGCATGTATTGAGTGCCTACTGTATGCCAAGTATGAACCTATTTGCCACGAATTAACTTATTTAATCCTCACAACAGCCCTATTATACATATGAAGAAACTGAGACACAGAAGTTAAGTAACTTACTCAAGCTCACACAGTCAGGATGTGGCAGACCTGGGATTTGAATCCAGGACTTCTGGCTCCACACTCGAAACTCCACTGTACAGTAATATCTCACATGTTGTGGTATTTTTGTACCACTGTTGGTGACATCCTCAAGTCTCTTTGGCATTCTTATCATGGTATCTGTCTATCTCTTTGGACTTTTTTTTTTTTTTTTTCTCGCTGTTCTGATGCAGCAACAGGACCCTTTTTTGATTCAGAGAATATGGTGCCCTTAGTGAATCATCAAGATGTCCATGACAATTTCAGGGGTTTTCTGTAGAGATCTCATTTCTTTCCTTTTCTTTCTTTCTTTCTTTCTTTCTTTCTTTCTTCCTTTCTTTCTTTCTTTCTTTTCTTTCTTTCTTTCTTTCTTTCTTTCTTTCTTTCTTTCTTTCTTTCTTTCTTTCTTTCTTTCTTTCTTTCTTTCTTTCTTTCTTTCTTTCTTTCTTTCTTTCTTTCTTTCTTTCTTTTCTTTCTTTCTCTCATTTCTGAATTCTGACTCAACCCACCAGAATGATTTGATAGTGATGGTGTATGACTTACACCAATTACATGAATGAAAATCCTCAACCACATTTGCTGGTGGAAAAGAAATTAACATTTTTGGAACACATAGCCTCTGTAAATAAGAACACCTTCTACTCGTTCTATATTAGTTTGAATTTTAGAGAGATTCATTAATGTTTAGGGTACTAACAGTGCATGGGCCAAAACTAATGGGAGAGTTGTGTGATATGAGAGATACAGTGAATCACATGACAGCCAGGATTCTCAAGGCCAAACTAAACAATGTTACTGAGAATACATACAAGTTTACTACCCAGTTAAAAAATTTCTTGTGCACTAATCATCTCATTGCTTTTGTGTATCAGATTTTTCCAAGTAATGCTCATCAGCACCAGCCTGTTTTAAAACAGAGCCTCCTTAAAGCACTTCACATGTATACAAGGGCAAGACAACAAATATTACAGTCCCATTATAGATCTGAGGGGGAAAAGAAGGCACAGAAGTGTTAAAAAGCCTGATGAAATCCTAAATTAGTAGTGGCCCAGTTCCTTAGTAGATTGGATTATTCAGGAGAGAATCAGGGACCCCCTTTAGTCCATGTATTTTGAGTTGTAGTGTGCGCCAGGCCCCCGGTGGTGTCCTAAGAACGCAGAAATGAATAAGCACCTTCCTTGCACTCAGAGGGCACCTAATCTGCTTCTCTCTTCTCTGCTAAATCTTTTTGTCTCTAAATCTTGCATGATCCTGCTGCCACATTGAGATCTAGTTCAGTAGTTTCATAATGCCCCCTTCTCTCCCTGGCTAAAGTCACAGTGCCTTGGTGACTTTTACTCTGAAATCCATGGAAATGTGAAGTTTACTGTTTTGCTCTCCCTGATAAAATATAGCATAATAACTAGTTGCTGGGTTACTGCGTAAAACACAGGCCCCAAATGTAGCCAGGAAGAGCAGTTAGCAATTAAGGAAAGGAAATGACCCGTGGGTTTGAAACTCAACACACGGCCCATGTACTTCTTAGCATAGAAAGGCATCTGGGTTACTTAGGCAACTTTTATCACTAAGGAAGTAGTTTTGGTGACTCATGCTCATCCAGAATGACTTCTTTCAAAATCTGTGTATTTGGTGACTTTACCATCAGGCTTCTGTTTTCCTTTTTCTTTGGACTGGGATAGAAAAAAGCTACATTTGGATGGCATGGGTTTATTACTTAGTAGCATATTAGTCACTGGCTGGCCCTGTTTTGAAATTTAATGGACTCGTGGTGATCAGAGTAAAAGGTCAGTAGTTCTTGCCCTGCATTGCTATATTAAATGTAGAACTAAGATTATTTTTTAAGCAGAAATGTTATGTCTTATATTAACAACGTTTCTTGTCAGTTACTTTTTATTATTTGATGTAACGATACTGCTATTGAAAATACTGGTCACATTAAAGGACTTTATACCATAACCTAAAATGCCTTAGTTTTCCCCCAAGGAGATGAAAAATGGAATTAAAATTGTCCATGGAGACCTGTCTGGAGGTGATAATTACAAAAATAAAGGAACCAGAAGGGAACTCCTCTGCGGCTTCTCTCTTCAGATTATCTGTCTACCTGCTTGATGTTCTAATAGTATTTACTGACAACTGATATTTTTCTGTGTTAAAAAATAGTAGAGAAGTTGTAGAAGAAGTGAGCTAACTCTAAGAGTGATAGGCCGATAATGTGTTTGGAGAATTATGGAAGAACTTACTATTGACAAAGAAAACTGGGAGCCAAGCCCAAGTGATTGGGCTCTTGGGGTTGGTTGCAGAGGCTCTGGGTTCGCCTGGTAACCTTCTTGATACCAGTGTTTAGTGCGGCCAGCATAGGGCTCACCTGGATCGTCTTTATATCTTTTGTTCTAACTCCAGAAATCATGCCGTAAGTCTCAAAAATGTGGCTGTTTTCATTTTGCTTTTAATTTAGCCCTTTTCTGTTTTTAATTTTGTGGCTGGAAAAGCTTGAAAAAGGCAATGAGTCATGACAACCATTTCTTTTTCTTCCAGATAGAAGCCTTCAGTGTGAGGCCAGGGCACGGAGCACCATTTGTGTGATTCATGAGCCTTAGCAGCCGAGCCCTTTTCTGTGGGCCCCCTTTAAGGGAACATGGGAGAAGGGGCTAGTCCAGTGGTTCTCAAAGTGTGGTACCCTGACCAGCAACATCAGCATAACCTGGTGTTTGTTGGCGACACTAACCTTAGACTGACTGAGTCAGAACCCACCAATCTGGTTTTTAAAAAGACTTCCAGATGATTCCAAGGAGTGCTGAAGTCTGAGAACCACAAATTATTAGTATTTGTGGCCATGAAGAGTATGAAAAATATAGTGGTTGGAGAGTGGGGACGTTTATGAGTCTGTTGATGAGGAAATGAAGAATAGATAGAAAAGAATGTTTTAACTTTAGAATTCAAAAAATAAAAAGTCTGGAACTTAATGAGGAGGATTGATTGCTTGCAAGAACCCAGAGAAGGGCAATCCAGATGAGTGGGGTACTGTGAACTATATTGGCATGGTTCTGAAATTCTCGAATAATCTCTTATGAGAAAAGGCATGTCTTTCTGTATGAGGACATACATTCAACTCAGGTTTATAAAATCCTTTAAGACTCTCATGTTCCATTGGCTTCACTAACTCATTTGCATCTTGAGGCCCCTGTTTCTGCATCTGAAAACCATCTGCATTGTTACTTGCCACAAATGGTCTCATCAGAATGAAGTCAGAGATTCAGGATCTGTAAGAGGATTTGTGAAGTGATTTGATTACTTAAAAATGTGAAGCGTAAGGAGGAAGAATAATTAATATCAATATTGACATTAAAGAGGGGCTTAGAAGGTGATACAAAAATGGGTGGCTATTTCAACTTCCCTTGGACGCATACTGCCTTTAGTCCTGGCTCTGTCGTGTATTAGTTTCTGATGTTAAGTAAATCACAGGTTTTCAAAGCTTTTCACCTTAGTTTCCTCAACAAAAATATAGCATCAATGATACCTACTCAGAGGATTGTTGTGAGAAAAAAAATTAGGTTAAAATATAAAAATGCAGCTTGTAAAGGTCAAACATTACACATTTTAGATATTGTTGTTAGGATTGTTGTTATTTTATGTCTGGGTTGAGGAAGCTTTGTGATTGTTGACATAATGACATCCAGGATTTTGGAATAAATGTGTACATCAGCAGATTTTATGATTACAAAAAATAGCTATGTTTGCTTTTCTACTAATTCTCCTCCAGTGGAATGTTTTCATTTTCTCGTGAAATAAGGGAGATCCACATATGTTTTATTAAAGAAAGCAAGCCTGATATTTTTTATCCTTTGAACCAAGAGACTACATTTCACTCATTCTTTCAGGGAAAGATGACAGATTGAGGAGTCAGGCTACCTGGGTAAATTCCCAAGTTCTGCATAAGCCTCAGTTTCCTTGTATATAAAAAGGAGGTGTTAATAATACAGAGCTGTATGAAGATGAAGTGAGAAATGTATATAAAAAATACGTAGTAGAGGGGCACAGAGTAAGCACCCAGTAATGTGGGTTGTTATTAAACTACAGCATGAAGCGGGGCAATGTGTCTGAAAAGTCAAGGGCAGGAGAAAATAAGAAGACAAGGGGACAGCTTATGAAATGGCTGTCTTTGCAAATGAAATTTTGCAATGAAAATTCAAGCAGGTCCCATGACTTTCCTGGTGACTCTTACTAAATTAAACACTTCTGTTTATAATAGAGAAAATTAATCATAGTGATTTATAATCTGCATGTCTACCTAATAATCAAAATTTCAATCTTGCTTTAAAGTTACACGTCTTCCCTCTCCAGGCTTGAGAGTGCTGGATGCAAGGGAATGGGAGTACTAGATTTCTCTTTACTAAGTGCTTCTCCTCCTCCTTTCCCATCTTGCTAACTAAGGTCTCTTGCTGCTTCAGGGTTAGATCTCATTGAGAAGAGGTGAGGGAGATAAGAAAGTTCTTTCTTGACAAGTACTGTTGGTGATTTAGAGTTTACCTGTCTCCATTTGGCGTGTGTCTAAAACTGGCCCTTTTTCTAGCAGGTGCTTCTTTGGGGACTTCTCATCATTGGGATGGCTCTCTCAAAGCGTCCTTAACATGCAGAGGTGCATTCATATTTAGTCTTCCACAGTCCCTAGAAGTCACTCAGAAGTATACTTTTTGCTTCTTTTTTTATATATACTTTTTTTATTTATTTGAGAGAGAGAGACACAGTGAGAGAGGGAACACAAGCAGGGGGAGAGGGAGAGGGAGAAGCATACTCTTTGCTTCTTTTTTGCTGTGGTAATTTCTTTCCAGGGGCTCATCCTCCCTACAGGATCTAAAAACAGCGAGCTCTCCCTTGTATGGTTCAGATCTGGTCAAAGGGACTTTACTTTCTAGAACTCAGAGGCTAAAGGATGGGTACAGTTGTAAACTCCCAGGGTGGTCCTTTGAAGCTCTTTGTGTTGGGCCTGAGGTGAATAGCAAACAGCTCCATAGACCTTCTGGGGAAAAGGTCAATCCACACAGCATACTGACAACTTCCTCCAAAAACTTTCATCTTCTGGGTGCATGGGTGGCTCAGTTGGTTAAGCGTCCAACTCTTGGTTTCTGCTCAGGTCATGATCTTAGGGTCATGAGATCAAGCCCTCCATTGGGCTCCCCCCCTCAGTGGGGAGTCTGCTTCCTCTCTCCCTTATCCCCCACCCCATGCTCGTGCATGTATGTTCTGTTTCTTTCCCACCCTAAAATAAAATAAATCTTAAAAAAAAAACAACTTACGGGCGCCTGGGTGGCTCAGTCGTTAAGCGTCTGCCTTCGGCTCGGGTCATGATCCCAGGGTCCTGGGATCGAGCCCCACATTGGGCTCCCTGCTCGGCGGGAAGCCTGCTTCTCCCTCTCCCACTCCCCCTGCTTGTGTTCTCTCTCTCGCTGTGTCTCTCTCTCTCTGTCAAATAAATAAATGAAATCTTTAAAAAACAAAACAAAACAAAACAACTTTCCTCTTCAATAATCTCTAACTCATTTATACCTTCAACATGGATAGATAGATGGTTGTAAAAGTTATGTCACTCTTTCTGGTGCCCTTCCTTTGAAAACTTTGCATTATAGTGTTGTATTTCACTTCAGAATGTGGTTTCTACTGTGTGCTGCATGAGTTGAAACTTGTACTTTAACTCCTATTAAAGGAAAGAGGAAAAGATCATATTGGGGATGCCCTAAGTTGGGGATGCCCTGACTTCTCAGACCATCACCCTCAAGTTGTTGTTGCTGCCAAGGAGAAAATGGTTTGTCCATGCATGAGAGTCAATGGTTTGACCCTCATGAGTGCCCAAATCACAAAGTAAAGCTTTCAGTGTGAGCGAGTGTTTTTTCAGATGTTCATATTTAATTATTTCCTTATAGGCAGCTTTTGTTTTTTAAAGTGACTGACTTACATTATTTGTGACTTACATTATCAATCTTGGGGCTGACTTATGTTATTGTTTTGGGAGCTAAAATGTGTTTAAAAATGGTGTTCAGATGAAGTTGGAGAACTGTTAACTTTTACCAGTTGTAATCCGATCCTAAACTCCCACTTGTATTTAAATAAACTTGTCTTGAGACAAATTAAATATGTTATGTATTGTGTTTAAATTTTTTAAATTATTATTATTGTTATCATATTTGCATTTCAGGCATAACATTTTCTAATGTGAAAGCTCACATGTGGCTGCATGTGTACAAGAAGATGCAGCTCTGAACTCAGGCCCAAAATGTCTGCGACTGCCTTGTGGTAGTTCTGGAGGTAGGTATCTAAGTACACGACGAATATGTACTTGGACTTGAAATGTCATGTAAGCCTCCTTTTTTGGTGTTTTTGTAGATACTAGGTACTATTGTGAAAATTACATGGACCTCTGAAAAATTGCTGGGAGTTTGAAAATTGGGTATGTTAGGTATATTTGTCTAATAACTCTTAATATCAATTTGGTTATTTTTTTCAAGTATGCCTGATTGGCATGGTGGAGTTAGGATAGTAAAACCTTGAGATAATGACTAAATGCCCATCTATGCATCCATCCACCCAAGGGGGGGGGGCTTCTAAAATACTAGAATTTTGTATTACAATTGCCCATGGTTAAAAATAAATCATCGTCATAATAAAACATTGACACTAATCTGAATTTTTTTTTTTTTAAAAGCAAAGTCTGTATTTTGGTTCCTAATTGTGAAAAATGAGAGCACTATTTTATTTTTTACTCTTGAAATACTTTCTATTTGATGACTTTTTAAATAAGTTTATGGGAACAATATTGGCAAGGCCAGGTGCCTATTATACCTTAGTATTCTTTTCTTTCCTCCTCCTCTCATTTTGTCTTCCCTGTTCTCCTTGTCTCTTTCTTTCTTTTTCTTTCCAGATAGCTGGGGATGCGCTCAGAGGAGATGATGATACTTGGGAAGATGACCTGAACCTGTCAACTTTGACCCAGTTAAAGGAAAGAAAGAAAGAGACTTCTAAATTTTGTGGCAACACTGTAATTTAAACAGGATTTAGTGTGGCAACAAGCTGCATGGTGTATCAAAGTGGATGCAAAGATGGTAAACTGGAAGGAGGTCTGGAAAGGAGGGAAATGAACAATGAGCTCTACTTTAGACAAAGCAAAGAGTGTGTGTGTGTGTGTGTGTGTGTGTGTGTGTGTTATCAAGGTTTAAAAAGGCTTTATTAAGTTTGAGACATCAAGGGGCACCTGGCTGGCTCCATCAGAGGAGCTTGCAACTCTTGATCTTGGGTTCAAGCCCCACCTTGGGCGTAGAGCTTATTTAAAAAAATAACGTAAAAATAAATTGGAAGCAAAAAAAAAATGGAAGCATCAAGATGAACTTGAACTTTAAAAGCTCCCTTCTAAAGCTGAAAGAGTCTAGACTGCCCCTGGTATATCACTCTCTCTAAAGTTAGTTCTGTGGAATATCTAATGTTCTGTTACTCTTCCAATAAAAGAAAGTGGGAGGGTAACTGGTACCAAATCTGGGGCAAATATCCAATGAGCTTAGAACCGGAAGGAATAGCCAAGAAATGTTTGCAAAAGAAGAGGAATTCTGGAGGTTCCTAGTAGGTGTGAAAATGTATTACAAAGTTCCAGTATTTGCCCGTGTGGTTCGCCAGCAGGAATAGCAGGCATACCCCAAGAAGGGCTAGCCGCCATGGGGACGATGCTACCTTAGGGTATATTGTGTGAACGAGGACGTATTCCCTTCCACCGTGGAAGGGGAATCTAGGTATTTACGGAAAAGTTGGGTTTAAAACCTCACCTTGCATACCATATCAAAATAGATTTAAAAAATGAAATGTAAAGGAAGAGAACATACAGGTGAGTTTAGCTCATTTTTTTTCTAAGTATGGGACTTCCTAGGCTTAAAAAGGCATCAGATAAATCACAAAGGAAAACTGTGTATATTTGACTGCAGAAAATTAAATACGTTTGTGTCATGAAATATTATAAACCAAATCCAGTGGAAACTGATGAATCGGGAGGCATTTTTACAACACACATGGTTGACAGCTTTATAGCAACAAAAATAAAATTGTGGTAATGCAGTCAGAAACTCATATTATCCCAATAGCAAAAGGACAAATATGACAAATAACTAACAAAAGAAAAAATTACAGATGTCCCATAAACATGTGATAATTCACCCTTGATGTTCATAAAAAAAAGGGAAAATAAAAATAGCACACTAATTTTTTGGCCTATAAGATAGACAAAAGTTTCAAGTGACAACACTTGTTCATGAGGATACAGAAGGTGAGCATTCTCAGCAACTGCTGATGGGCTCATAATCGTTTTGGAAATGCATCAAGAACTTAGGTGACAATTATGTCTTTCACCTAGTAATACCCACTTCTAGATTCTATCTAGCTGATGAGAACATCAGAGCATTTGAATATTTATATGCAAGAATTTCATTGCACTGTTCATGTGGCAAAAAAAACCGAATCCTCTTAAATGTTCAATACTGAGAGACTAGAAAAAGAAATTATGGTTGTTTATGTACTACAGAAACTACTAAGGCAGGAAAGATATCCAGCGAATCATTGAATATGGATGATTTTTAAGGATGAGGGTGGAATCAAGGTTTTTTTGGAAGCTGTATCTTTTTTTTTTTTTTTTTTTTTTTTGCTTTTGTAATTTGCTTTACCCCTCCAAATTAGCATGCATTACTTAGAAAATTCAGAAAAAGGTGAAGATGACACGTGAAAAGTGATATATCCCTTTGATAGAAATGCAGAACTGGTCATGATAAAATGTCAGATGGGAAAAAAACCAGAGTATAAAACATAAATGCAATAAGATTATGATTTTGGTAAAATATAGTTAGTGCAAAGACTAGAGAGAGATACTAAAATATTAGCTATGGTTATCTCTTTGGGTTTTTAAGATTTTCTTTTAAAATATATTTTCCTATTTTCCAGATTATGTGTGATGGGCATAAATATTTTATTAGTTGTGCAAAAGAGAAAAAATGGTCCTCTTACAGTTGGATTGGGTTTTCAATACTCTGGGCATTTCTGATGTTACTTTTATCAGGTCTCTTTCACTTTTAGTGATAATAAAAAAATTGTTTTTCAAATAATAATGTCTCACCTCTATAGGGAACAAGTAATATGATGGAACTGCAGTCTGAAGTTTTTGGGTTTGCAAACCGTGAACTCTGCAAGGAGACGTAAATACTACTCTGGGTTGCATTCTTTTCCCACCCTATTCTTGGAGTGAGCCCTACAGTAAAAGGAGTAAAAAAGGATAGGCCATGCAGATTCCTGACATTCTTTCCTAACCAGAATGATTTTTAACTCCTAATGTGATTTTTACCCCTCAAAATAGATACCAGCTCTCTTCTTTCATTTATTCTTTGATACCTTCCAGATTTTTTTTAAATTGGTGCTCTCTCCTGATTTCTTTTAAAAAAGTGCTTCTGTGACTTGTAAATAAATCTGTTCACCTGGAGAATATTGATTTATGTGACAGCTCATAACATGAAATTTTCGCCTTTTGATTCTTTGTAAAAAAAAACCCAAAACCTGAATATTAAAAAAGAAAAACTGATGGGGCCTAAATGGGTTTATGAGCATTTTAAACATTCATAAAGCTCTTTGAAACTTACAGGCCTACATTATCATTTATGATTGATACTGTCCTATTACTAAAACATACTTTGCCATCCACTGAAATATAGTCTATTTTGGTCATTCCGTATTCTCTGAATGACTAAACATAGAACAAATCCCTTTGAGACTTGTACTATATTTTAACTCCGCAGTGATTACCTTAGATGGGAATGAAAGACTCAGTCTTGATCTTCAGGAATCAGGGTAACTCTGTAATAGCAGGGTTAATGGCCTCTGGGGCATTCCCAGTGTAAATAGAACGTTTGGGGGGGATCAGTGGTACTTATGTTGTATAATGTTTACTGGAGTGACTTTGAAAGATCGTAAGGCCAATTTCAACAATTTCAAGTAAACACGAAGTTGCATTATGTTCTTATGGAGTGAGTAGACTTAGTAATGATGTTACTACATTTTGGTTATTTTTATCACTATTGGATCCTATGAGAATGTCTAAGTGATATTTGGTATCCAGACTAGTACCTGACTAGCAAGGGTAGGGTGAAAAAATCCTTTTATTTGATTTCTCTCTGCATTTTAGTTTGTTGGTACTGACAACTGTAGCAATTAAAAAAAAAAAAAGGTTATGAAGAAGAATGAGGGGTTTTATGGAGCGTGTGTGTTCGTGTGTGGTGTCTGTAGGGTGTGTGTGAATGTGTGTGCACGCACGTGTGTTTCCCTCTTCCTGGCCTTGCTGGATCTGGTTAGGGGGATTTAGTCACCTCAAACGGTTCTGAATGTTTGGTGAATTAGCAGAGAACAGGAGCAAAGTAATAACAGCTCTCTTTCATTTTTATCTCCTCTATTCCCATCATAGGTCTTGTTTTCCCACCTGAAATAATGGAGGCTGTAATAGAAAACAATAAGGAAAGACATCTTATTAGAGAATATGCAAATTAGTCTCTTGGTTATAAACCCTCTTTGAAAGCATACCAGGAAAACAATTCTCTGTATGTGATTGTTAGAAAAGAATGGATCATATCTTCCATTATGAGTTGTTCAGATAGGGAAGTTGTTGAGATAGGGAAGGAAACCAGTTATTTATTATTTTAGGCACACCACCGAGTTTCTCTCTGTCTCTCTTTCTCTCTCCTTATATATCAATTAATTATTGATTAAATGCAGACAGTTACCTTGCTAGCAAATATTACCCTTGTTTCATAGATGAAGAAAGTATTAGAAGCAGGACTCATATTGCCTTGTTTATTCTAAGAACTATATGTTCCTTGAACAGCATCAAGGTGTCTTTGTAGGAGTAACTGGGCTGACAATCAACTGTAAGTTTTATTTGTGAGTCTTTGAAGTTGTCTCCCTTTTGTGAAGCAGAATTAACCTTTTTGTCTAGCCTTTACAAAACACATTGTCAGAGCAGTTCATGTTACCTTCTTTGAGCTCAAAAGTTACCTTCATTCCTCAGGCCAACCTGTTCTCGGGAAGCAATATATTCTAGCAACCAGGGCTGCTCTGGTTTGGACCCTCAGCTTTCCCTCCGGGTGTAGAGGCCCAGCAGGCATGGGACAGCTCAATCTGCCAAGTATCTTCTGTACTAAGTTATGGTATAGGCAGCACTATAAAGACCTTTGGAGGACCCCTGAGTAAAAATTCCCCGTTCTCCACCTGGTTGTGGGCTGGGGCAAGTTACCTCAACTTTCTGAATCTCAGGGTCTTCACCTGTCAAACTAAGATTGGGTGAAATCAGTGTCACCTGGGGTCACTTAGAGGCAGCTACAGGGGTGGGTGAGGGCAGGATAGATGATCTGGTGTTCTTCTGGGCCCCCTACTATCCATGCTTCAGCAACAGAACATCTGTGTGCACACACGCACATGCTCTACCTCACCCTCTGCCCTGATTCTCGGTGAGATTTTGTTTGAAGAAAAGGTTCTATATCTAAAAATAGTTGGAAAAACACTGGGAAATAGTCCTTGAGATTTCTTTGAGCTCTAAATTTCCATGGGTGTAGGAGACCCGTTTTAAAGATAGACAATCCCACTATCTTTAATTTAACTAAAATCTAATCTTTAACATTTACTGCCAAGCATTTTTAAGTTAGAAATTTCAGAAAAAAAATCTGAAAGAGAAAAATCAAAGTCAAAATCTGTGACTGAGTACTTTGAGAGGGCAAGCTATAAGGCAAACTGCATGGTTTCTATGCTTTTCTGCAGAAAAATCTTTATTCTTCTGAGGTAAGTGTAAGATAATATTTACAATCAGAAGTCACTAGAATATACTTCACAAAAGAGAAGTACCATTCCTTCAAGACATCGTGAAGTTCATCATTTTCCATCTGTTCTTTTTCTCTTGGAAGCTTGTTATGCCATTAATAGAACACACCTGCTGTTTTCCTGCGTCTTTTCTTTTGTGACAGTCTGTGAACAAGGTGACCGGACACCAGAGGAAGAACAGAAGTGTTGGGCTACAAGGTTTGCTTTTGTGGGAGTTCCTTTTACTCTAAATCTTCGGGGCGCTTATTTAAAATCAGTGTTCCAAGTACAATAATTAAGCACCTACTGCACACTTCAACACTATTCATTTATTGATGGGCTACCCATTAAGGTCATGACTTCAAGAGGCTGACTTTCAAGCAGCTCTGTCCCATAGAACATTCTCTGATGGTGGAAATATCCTCTCTTTGCTGAGCAGTACCGTAGCCACCAGCCACTTGAAATGTGCCTAGCATGACTAATGAACCGAGTTTTTAGTGGTAAGTAAGCTAATTTAGATCGGCAGATGTGGCTGGTGGTGACCCTATTGGACAGTGTAGCTCTGGAGAATCAATAGAATTGGTAAAATCATCTTAACGTTCAGGGGATGAAGGCATTGAGTTCTTCTTTGTTATTGGCACTTGAATGGCTTAGGTTACAGATTTTTACATATAAAACCATTTTAAATTAAGCATTTCTTCAGTGCTTGGCACATAAAGGAGTCAATGAGTGATGGGATGGGTTTAATAGGTTTCCCCTTACTCCACCCCTAGTCACAGCAACTCAGGCATCCGGTGCATCCTGGGTGAGGTCCCTCACAAGTTTCCCGTAAGATTGCCAGACCCATAGACTCACCTTTCAAGCTACCCTGGTCTCTGTGGGAGTTCTGAGTGAGGCTCTGTCTATGCATGCTGCTGTCTTTTTTCTTACTGCCAGTGCTTCTAGGCTCAGCAGCCCCTCAGTCATGCCTCTGGCTTGCAGACGTCCAGCCTTTCTGCGCCCAGCCCAGGCTACTCCTGGACACCTCCCACAAACTCCCCTAGGGCCCTTAGAGGTCTATGGCTATAAGCCCCACTCTGTAGCATGCTGACCTGACCTCATTTAGGGCCCAGTGTTCATTATGGCTCCTAACACCAGCATCACCATCCTGGAGCATGAGCAATGCCAGGGGTCAGAATCATGCCATTGGACACAGTTGAAGGGACTGAGAATGCATCACTTAGAGAATGTCATTAGATGAATACTGTTTATTAAACATGCTTTTATGTTGTGCCAGGCATGGGGCTAAGTGCTTTAAATTCTCAGTTAATCCTTGTAGCAACCACATGTCCTATTTTGACACATTTTAGATGTGTGCGTAGGCTCAGAGAGGGTAAGTGACTTTCCCAAAGTCACACGGCTAGGAGGCTGCAAATATACCATTCCTGTTTACACTCTCTGGCTCTCAGGCTCACAGTTTTAACCACAATGAAATTCCTTATTCAAGAGGGACAGTTCTTCCAAATCAGTGCAGAGGGCAAATCTAAAAGGAACTGGAGTTTGGGGGACTACAGAGAAGGATTTTCTACTAATTCACGCTCCACCACAAACACCTGGCCCTGTGAAGCATGCTGTGCGTCGGAGCAGCTCATAGCTGAGGCCTCATGCCGTTGCATCAGGACGGTGGTAAAAGGCCTTCTTGGGTAAGTGGGAGCTCACGAGTGATAGATGAACTCTCAGGGCCTTTCTGATTCAAATTTCTTCTGAATATAATTTCCTCTCTTGAGGACATTTACTGCCAATTTATTCCCATATGACTACTTTTTTATTTTCCATGCAATTCATAAAGACCCTTCTTTTTCTGTGTGAAACCAGGATGTAATTTATTCATCACTCAAATTTGCATAAACAGGGTATTCTCTTCCTTCAGCAAGCCTGTATAAGAATCCACATCACGTTTCACTGGGGAATAAAGAATGGCCTGGATCATGGAAACCAAAAGGTGATTGCCAAAAGTATTTTAAACATTTGGCAGACTTTGTTTAGTTCTGTTAGATATTAATGATCAGTGACATGACAGCCAGGAGAGGAAGAATACAATATCATTAGATTTCAAGTTATACAATGAGCTCTTAAATCATTGAGATATGCTTTTATTATTCTAATATACCTTTAGTGTTACATTGTGCTCCGTAATTATTTCTGATATGCGTTGTATGTGCCAGGTGTTAACTAGCATTTTGGGTTTCTTCGCAAGTGCATTTTCTGTGTTTGGAGGGAAAATATACTGAATATCCTAAAAATATTTGTATTTTCGAAAAGAGTGTTGAGTGTCTGTGATTAGAATATAACTCTGTTGGAAATGCCATCGAGGATAACTTTATGGGAAACTATAAGATTAGAAAGCTGTTTTTTTCTTCTGTAAGAACATTTGGGATTCACTTCGGGAAAGAGTAATCAATACATATCTTCACGTTCTCTGTATGTGCTCATCCTACCGAGGATGGGTAGTATCAACTACTGGCATTCCCAGCTCTGGCAACTTGCGCCAGGGTTTGCAAGCGAATGTACCTCATTCGAGGGGGCCTGACATCTATAGATGCTCCCATGGAGATGGTCATACATTATGATTATGGATTTTCATTCTAGAAATGATTATCACATGGGATAAGCCTTACAGAGGAAATACTAGGCAAAGAGATGATGTGTATAAGGCAAAAACTGGGCTGGGAAGAACTGAAAGGGTTTCGTGATAGGAACAGGTGGAATCTGTATTTCAGAACACTGGCAGGGCGGGGATGGGGGAATCAGACAAGTTGGGATTTCTAGAAGGAAGGTTGCACTAGGTGGGTCTAGAAGAAGGCTAGGATTTCTGGGCAACGTAAAGAACATGAACAAGGAACATAAGCAGGGAAACTGAGGCATGAAGGAGGGGAATGCCGACCATTTCAGTTTGCAGCAGAGCTGAAGAATGGGAGGAAACAGAATTCACAAAGAAAAGTAAGTCTGGGGCTATATTGTGAAGACCCTTAAGTATCAGCGTGAACAGTTTGTAATCAGCCTGTGTGGGGATGGGGATCTATCTCCCTTCCTCTCAGGAGATTGGTATTTTCCATGAACTCTTCCACATATTTTTGGCCTGTCTCTCCCATACAGGGTAAGATCCTTGATCATATTTATTTTGATTTATAGTTAATGCTAAACAGAGTCTAGGTATGTTATACATACATATATATATTTATTGGTTGTTGACTGCATATAAATCACTGTGACTATATAGCCCCCTTTATATGTACTGATGTATTTATTGTACTAATATGTAATAAATACTAGAAAAGTTTGTTTCATGCATTATATATGTGATGTTAGTGTGTATGTGATTTCTAGAAATGGAGTTGGTTTAAGAGTACATTTGCTTAAAGCAAATTTTAGACAATTTCTTTCTTTTTTTTTTTTTTTAAAGATTTTATTTATTTATTTGACAGAGAGAGACACAGTGAGAGAGGGAACACAAGCAGGGGGCGTGGGAGAGGGAGAAGCAGACTCCCTGCTGAGCAGGGGGCCTGATGTAGGGCTCCATCCCAGGACACTGGGATCATGACCTGAGCTGAAGGCAGATGCTTAACAATGAGCCACCCAGGCGCCCCTCGACAATTTCAAGTTGAGCAGGTAACTAACATCTGGCCAAATCAGGACTCACTTTTGCAGAAGGGAATTCAGCTATAGAATCTTAGAGCTGTCGGGCCCTCAGCAATCATTTCTCCTGCTTCCTTCCCTTTTATTTGACAGAAGGGGAAACCAGGCTCAGTGCAAAGTCACTGGCAATGCCAGGGCTAAGATTCTGTTCTCTGTTATCTTTCTGCCACCCTTCTTATCTGAAGTAAGTGACCAATAAAAACAAAATATTTAGGGGCGCCTGGGTGGCTCAGTCGTTAAGCGTCTGCCTTCGGCTCAGGTCGTGATCCCAGAGTCCTGGGATCGAGCCCTGCATCGGGCTCCCTGCTCAGTGGGGGGGCCTGCTTCTCCCTCTCCCACTCCCCCTGCTTATGGTCCCTCTCTCGCTGTGTCTCTCTCTGTCAAATAAATAAAATCTTAAAAATAATAATAATAAAATAAAAATAAAAATAATGAAATAGGGGCGCCTGGGTGGCTCAGCCATTAACTTTCTGCCGTCGGCTCAGGTCATGATCCCAGGGTCCTGGGATCGAGCCCCGCACCGGGCTCCCTGCTCCGCGGGAAGCCTGCTTCTCCCTCTCCCACTCCCCCTGCCTGTGCTCCTCTCTCACTGTGTCTCTCTCTGTCAAATAAATAAAATCTTAAAAAAAAAAAAAAAAAATTTAGGGACCAATACACATTTACAAGGAAAAAATTTCATAGGAAACTGATGAAAAATGGATCCCTTCCATAATCCAGATAGGGTAGTCCTACTTTTGTTTATAGTATTACATTAGCACAGGTGGAAAGTTTCTAACAAACCAGTCATTAACTTATTACAAGTGGTACTCTCCAATTTTTCCTAACACAAGTTAACGTGTGGTGGTAATGGGAACAATAGGACGCCGCACAATAGATCATTTCCTCTCGTGCCTGAGGTCATTTTTTACTTTGTGATCCAGCCTCCCACAAACTTGGTCACTGGGCATCTTGGAGAAGCAAGGCCCTAGCACTTGGAGGGGCCTAAGTACTTCTACATTATAGTAACAGTAGATCCTGTGTTGGGGCTATTTTCCAAGCTAAAGTACTGTGCAGCCCACTGGCAATGACAGCCCGCGACCCCGAACTGGCCGGCACAGGGGCTCGGCTGCAGGGGCGCCGGTTTCTGTACTTGTAACTCCGGGACCTGCTCGCAGGAGAAGGCTGACTTACCTCGGTAACCGCAGCACAGACACAACACCTGGCACGTGGTGCGTTACTAACGCTAGTAAGGTTTGGACACTTGAGGCTCCAAGTGACGGAAAAGCAGTCTGCCTGGGAAACGACCTTTTCTGGCGTCTAACCCATGTGAATTCACTTTGGGGCAAAGGTGGATTTCGTCTCCTTGGCTTCGGACTCCAAGGTCCCTGAATGCACTCTAGAAGGTAGATAGGGCGTAAATCGGGCCGCTATTCCCTTGGGAGGCCGCATTGTTTTGTGCCCATTGTCCCCCCGCTGACCCCTGCTAGTCCCCGGGGGCCTCGCGCTGCTAGCAGCTCTCGGAGCCTGAGCGGCCGGCGAGGGGGAACCGAAAAGCGGCGGAACCAGAGGCGAGGGAGCAGGGCGGGCGGAGGAAGATGAGAAGGGAACCGGCGGGCCTAGCTCCGCGGCGGCGGCGGCGGCGGCGGCGGCGGCGGCGCAGCGGGCATGGAGGCCCTGCGCGTCCTGGAGCTGTACAGCGGCATTGGAGGCATGCACCAGGCGCTGAGAGGTGAGAGCGCACACGCCATCTCTCTCCCCATTCGCACCGAGGGGCTGGTCCCAGCTTGGGCTCGGGGGAGGGGCGAAGCGGCGAGGCGCCGGGGGCGGAGAGAGGAGCGCAGGATGTGTGTGTTGGGGGCGGGGGGGCGGCGCTCGGTTGTCGTGGAAACCGCCCGAGCGCGCAGTCCCCGCCCGGCGGCTCCGGGCGGAGACTCCCTTGCTCCAGCCCCGAGGCTTGCCCGAAGGGCGGACGCGGAGTCTGTGTGGACTCAGTTTGAGTCCTGATCCGCGAGGCGAGGCCGGAAAGTCAGACTGAGATGGTACCGGCGACGGGGGATGGGCGAGCTCCTGGCGGGGGCCGGTCCCCGTTCCAGCTGTGGCTGCCACCTAGAGGCGTGGACACCTGTTTCTTTGCCCTCGAGGGAGTCGCGGCGAGGAGGGGAGGTTCCTGGGGGGCTTGGCCGGTGAGGATTGGATCTTCACAGGGAGAGTTGCAGGGCAAGGCGGAAGAAGTTAGGGAAGCCTCAATGAACTGTGGAGAGGAAACACTGAGGAAAAACCTGTTCCTTTCTGATCATTGAAAAGAAACAGCGTGTCTTGTCTAGATACATTGAGGCGCCAGAAGAGCGGAGATGAAACTTGGTGTGACCTTGGGCTAGTTCCTTAACATCTTTGAACCCGGTTCCTGGTTTTAGAATGGGAAAAGTAAATTTTTCAGAGGAGGATTATTATGAGGATCAAAGATAAGGCGGGTAAAATGTTTAATAGTGCCTCGTACATTGTAGCCACTCAAAACATTATAAATTAGGACTATTACTATTTTATGTACCTCTCTCATTTTGAGGTGATAAGCTGGAACTGAAAGGTTTATTTTCGGTGGTGGTTCTCTCAAAAATATTTCTTGAACTCCTGTTCTGTTCCAGGTACTGTCTAGGTGCTGGAGATACAGAGTGACAAATAGACTTTGAACGTGCGTGTTTATTCTTAAATTACTATGACAGCCACAACACTGAAACTTGCCTGCTTCCTTTTTTTAGTACCAAGGGCAACGAAAAACGAATAGTGTAAGATACAAATAATATATAATGAGTTGAACATAAGTTTTCTGAGCATATGTATTCAGTTTTGATTGTAGACTAGGGTAGTGATTATTATAGTTTTATTACCAATTATTTGCTGGTTCTCTACATTCAGTTCTCTTATCAAAACTTAACCAGCAAGAAAACAAAAGAAAATTCTAGGGGCGCCTGCCTGGCTGGCTCAGTCGGAAGAGCAAGGGACTCTTGATTTCAGGGTCATGGGTTCCAGCCCCATGTTGGGTGTAGAGATTACTTAAGTAAATAAATTAAACTTAAAAAAAAAAATTCTAGTACTCTTTGTTCTTTGTTAATTTTGTAAGATTTTATAATGTCACCATATTTTCCCGTATCTTGAAACCCCTTAATGAACATGATTTTAAGGTTTGCTTAGTACTTTATCATAAGCTATAATTCAACCACTCCTTAAGGGGATAGATAAGAACATTAGATTATACCCCAATTTTTTGCAAGTATAAATGTGCTACAATTACAGCCTTGAACATAAATCCTAATTTTCTCTTTAACTGGTGTTTTCTAAAAGTTGAGTTAATTCATTTAACAATCTGAGACTATGTGCTAGTTATTAAGTAAAAAATTAGGATAATTTTTTAAGACTTGATAGATAATATAGCAGATTGCTTTTCAGAGGTTTATGAGTACCTCCTTCAACTGCGTATTCATCAGGATTTGTATTAGCCATTTTTAACCTTTGCTGATTTGATTGGGGTAATTGTGTAATTTTAACTTGCATTTTTTTGGTTAATGAAACAGTTAAGTATCTTCTCTCCTATCCGCCAATGCAACCTGAATTTGTGCACATATATTTCTGTTGCCACTGCTACATCCTGAATCTGAACTTTATTAAAATAGTTTCCCAATTGCTCCCCTGTTTCTACTTTGCTTTCCTGCTCCACCCTTTCTCCACATAGGAAGAGAATGATCTTTTGCACAGTAAACTGGATCATGTCACTCACTTCCCTGCTTAAGTAACTTCTCTTTGAGGTTCGAGTCACAGCCCCATCTTCTTACTCTGCCTGGGAGATCTGGCCTCTGCTGCCTTCCCTTCCCTTCCTTTTTGTTCCTGTACAGCTTCTAGCACAGTACCGCACTTGTGACAGGCAGTCTGTGGATGACTGCTGATGGGTAATCATTCTACCATTATGTTGATAAAAGCATAGTTTGCTCAGCCCCAATTTTTGTATAATACAAAACTCTTAGTTGCAAACCAATAATCTATTCTCTAGCGAACCTAAGCAGGGAAAAAAAAAAAAAAATATATATATATATATATATAGAAAAGGACTTTTGGAAGCTCACAGAATCTATAGGACACCCAACAAACAGGTTAGGTGAACAGGAACACTGCTCAAACCACACTCTGGGCCCTGCCCCCACAAAGCTTCATACTGACTTCACAGCTTTCACCAGTGATGCTGAGGGCCAGGTGTGAGAAGTGCCATCCCTGTTTTCCTCTGAAGGGTGGATGCTTCTCCCATCTCTGTCGCGAAAATGATGGGTTTTTCATTTGCTACCTCATGTTGCTACTTCTGAATGAAAGTAGTATATGGATGCAGTTAATTGGTGGACTTTGGATCCCACTGCCAGCAAAGGAAGCTGGGAAAGTGAGTTCTGGCTCCTCTTTTGGAAAGAAGGGACTCAAAATATGGCAAAATTTTCAAATATAGAAGACACGGGCAAAGATTCTAAGTGGCCACAAGTATAACAAATACCTTTCACATTATTTAAGACATGTTCCCTTGTATAGGAAGCACTTACTACTTCTTTGATACTATTTATGCCTGCACAGTCTATAAAGTCTTGGCTAATGAGAATCTTCCAGGTGAAAATATCTCCTTTCAGAAAGTAGTAGAAGTAGTTTCATGAGTTATATATTGGTGGGGCCTGCAAGGCACCTGCAAATTTAATGGGTAGCAAATAAGATTTTGTTTTTCTCATAAAGTATAATATCACAGAAAGACTAAAATGTGATGTAAGGTAGTGAATAAAGAAAGCTCTAGCTGATTATTATCATATATATGGTCAACTATTGAGACTTCCTTGAAAGTAAAAAGACCTGCCCTACCAAATAATTTCTAAAGGTTTTTTAAGGTGTTGATTTTGAGTTTTAGTCACATTAACAATCATATTTAGTAGGAATTACTCAGCCTTAATATTTTCAGTTAAAATGTCAAGCAATTTGTCACTCATTATTTTCTGAATTTCTTTTATCTTTATTTCTCAATGACTTATATGCCAACTTGAGACCCTACTGAACCACTTTGTAATTAGGTGTGCTTATATCTGAATCAGGCAAGTATATTATGATTAAATATAGATCCGAATGTCACCTGGGGTGTTTTTGGAACATCAGTTGTAAGGAGCTAGAATTTGAACTGCTTAATTTTTTTTTCTTAAATTTTCTTTGGTATTGTAAAAATGTCCTCTTTATGCCTCTTTTCCCATAGTTATTCTTATATGACTTGTTGCCAGATTTAAAGTGAAGTGAGGTAAAAATTTGTCCCGTTTGAAAATATGTATTCTTTGTTCTCTGTTAGCCACAGGAGTTATTAGATTATTTTTTCCAAACTTGAAATACAAAGATGAAATAAGTAGGATGAATTTTGTATATTCAGCAAAGGAGAATGCTCACTTTCCATTGGATGATAGAATTACCTATCTTTTCTGTGATGGAAATGCTTACCTCACTGCAGAGTATTACTATTTTCCATAGATCAGATTACTTACCCTGTCCTAATGTCTAGGTGACCAGTTTAATTTGTATTATGACCTATGTATTGGGGCTTTTGGGGGCTCAATAGATAGTACCCCTCTTCATAATTCTGAACAAAGAGAGAAAGAAAACAGAAGAGTAAGGCAAATAGGAAATACAAATTTGTATGATTTTTATTACTCGTAAAGGCTGAGTTGGAGGATGTAGCTTACTGAGAGGACCCGATGGGTCAGCTAACATTCAACCAGACAATTAGGCAGCTACCTTTTAGGCACAGCTGGAGACGCAAGCAGAACGCATGTTGCCTGTGGGTAGCTTATTCCCAAGAGGAGGACTGGTGGAGCTGAGCAGGCATGCCCAGTTTATTTTTCACAAATTAGCCGATTAGAGAAGTCACTCTGCCTTCCACGGAAGAAGTAAAAAGGCTGTGTGAGGAGTTTAAATGAATAGAAACCACTCACTTGGAAAAAACATCAGTAGGGGGAACACATACACTCACATGCCAAATGCTTTTAGGAATCTTTCAGATGTCACCGTTTTTCGATTTTGCAAATGTTATCTCATTCTTTTCATATTTGATACTTAAACTGCCTCTGACAATCATTTGGTACTGCCGAATAATTTGAAATACGATGGTTTGTTTTCATAGTAGGTTGGTCTTAAATCATTGTTTGTAGCACTGTGAGATAGTAACAGCAGACAGTGTTTATAGGACAGTTTCAGGGAGAGGTCATTTCATCTCCCAGTTAAGAGCACAGTTTTATTATCAGAAGGCCTTGGTACTTCCTAGCTTTGTGACCTTGGGCAAAAACTAAACTTCCTGTGCCTCAGTTTCCTTTTCTATAATAGTACTTACCTCGAAGGGGAAGTGTGAAAATTATAAATAAATAAAAATAAAGCATGTCAGTAGTGCTTGGAATGTGGTAAGTGCTCAGTAAATATGGGCAGCTATTATCAAAAATCTTAGAGTTATAGAAAATTATTACATGTTGTTTAAAAATGGCTTTAGAAGAAACTGATAATTAAATATTCGAAGTTGTCAAAGAGCTTTCAGACTAGATTTGAATTATGCAGGAATAGATCAGTGAAGGAAAGAATTATTTATAACCACAGAAGATGATAGGGAATGAATATGTATGAAGAGGTAAAAGAGAAGGGCAATGAAGAGAACAGAAAATTCTGTTTTGCCCTCATGATTCTCTAGAAAGCTCACTTATCCATGAG